TGAACAATCATACACACACACACACGAACCATCTCTTTCTCTCTCTTCCCTTTTATTTTCTATATTCCCTTCATTCTTCCTGCATGTATGTATAACTTTTTAACACCTCATGAATAATATAATCAAGGCCTTTTTAAAATAATAATTATTATGTTCAACTTCTTGCAGATCTAACATTAGTTCATGATGTGCTTTTTTTTTTTTTCTAACGGCCAGCTGAGCAATGAGTTCAATCAAACACTTGAATTTTTGTCAGATACATAAATTTCACTAATTCAAAGCGTTATATCAAACAACATGAGGAGGGCAGCAAACACACATATGTTACATATCCACCTCTTTGAAAAATGATCAAAAAAATTACTAAAAAGTTTAAAATGCACATAGTAGAAAAAATTTGAAGAATTTTCAATAGGAAAATAGTTCGTAAAAGTCGCCCTATTTCAATAATAGAAATATTGGATACTTGGTTGGATTATTGTGTTTATTTATTAGAACATACAACATTTAAATAAAAAATCTTTAAAGTTTTTTTGAAAATCTCAAATACCTTATAAATGTTACAATTCACAATCACTATTAAACTATTGCATTCCAATATAGTTAATAGATTGATTAATGCTAATTTTCTATATAAAAACTGTCACTCTGTTCAAATCATCTTTTCGATTTGTATTATTCGAAAAAATTATAATCACAAATATAAAAGAGTAATTTGAATGGAAATTGATAAAGAAAGACAATAAAGCATGATATTTTTCTTCACTAATGATCTGTCTATAGTTAATACTTCCTTGATCTTTGGTACAGTATAGTATATTATTTTTTCTATTAAAATGGACAATACAATGATGAATGACTTAGTCATTATACAAATTTAGCCATGCATTCTAGATTCTTTTTAATCTTTCTTTTGGTCAGTAAAATTTTTTGGTTGAACTGAGAAGTGACACACTAGCATTTTATTTTCAGAGTCTAATTAATTAAACAAAAAAAAATAGTCTATTTTAGAATTTAGTAAAGTGAAGCATGCTGATTTTCATAAACCAAAAAACAACGAAAAATAGAAATTATATTCTTTCTATTATTTGTCGTTATCATCGACAAAAAACGAAAAAATCTCAACCAATTTTAAAGTGATATCAATTTTATATTAATGATAACGAATATGTAACAACAATCATTACAAGAAGATATGAAACTCTTTTTGAATATTTCAAAATTAAAAACAAGCAAAAACAATTTTTAATACTTTTTCTCTTTTATATTTTTGATGGATTAAACGTAGGTTTTTCGAATCAACAGAGTGGTCATTTTCTCATATGTGAACCAAAAGAGAGAGTTTATATTTTAAAAAAATGTTATTACAACATCAAGTTTTCTAAATTGACAAAAAAAATCCGTTGTTTTTCTGAATGTGGTGAACTTCATCAATTTTGTGATGAAGTCAAGATGAGAATAAATACATATATTTTAGATTATTTAGAAGCATCTTCTATTAGAAAATAAATTTTGTTTCTGAAAAATCATTGATCTACTAATACATCTGCAAAGTATAATTTTTATAGTGTTATGCTTTGGTAATTGAAAATTCCAGGATAGATTACGAATTGATTACAAAGTCTAAAATAATTTCTAATGGTTCAGTGTTTCTGTATATAAAATCAAAAAAATTGATCAAATGCAAAGCTCTGTTTTTGCTGGAACTCGATCAAAAGATGAATAATAAACCAAATATGTGTCTATTTGTAAATTTTAATAGAAAGAAACAGGAAATAGTCTAGAATTTATACTTTTATATATATATATATACTTCGTGAGAAGACCTCGCTGGAGAATAAAAAGAAACTGCTTATTCTGTTGTAATTAAATATTTTACTATTGTTCAAGTTTTTTATTTTTATACTATTATTTAGTGATAATAATGTTGAACTGCTTTGTTTTATAAAATTGCCACGCGATATTATATGTGATAGAGAAACATAACATGCCGATGAATCTTAAATAAAGAAGAGTTTATTTTTTGAATTGAAACTGCTGGTCGAAGTCTTTTCCTTGAATATTCAATGTATTTACTATGAAATTTGTTTCATTCTAATAATGAGAATTATTTCCTTTTCCTGTTACAATTTAATTAATGTGAATGTTTAACGACTTATTATACAATATCTTAAATTTCCATCTTAATTGAGATAAAATGTACTTTAGTACATAAGGTATTTCTAAATCTAGTGAATACCCTCTGTTACATCGGTATCACATCTCAATTACAAAATAGAATCTTCAAAAATGGAAAAGAGCAAAAATGAAAAGAGAGCCATCTGTTCGAACAAAAGTATACTTGAAAAACTTTTTAAGTCTTCTTGAAAAACAAAAAACAATTTTTTTTTCATGTATCAGCTCTGTTCTAGTGATATAGTGATATATACAGGATTTATCTTCTGCCAATCAAAATCTAAATGTTAGAGCTTATGGTTATGTTAAAAAAAGAAGAAGTTCTGTACTATAAGTATTGTTGATTAAATATATATGATCTATATATAGACGTATGTTAAGAGACCTCGAGATGAATGGAGTTCTCTTGGTGTTATTGTATTTACTGTCGCAGAAAGAATTAGAAATAATACAAAGTACTATGGACAAAATATCAGTAAAAAGAATTCTAACTGTTATTTTATTTTTAGTAACCCTTTCTGTGAATTAGCAAAAATAATCATTTCTTTTTCTTAATGTTAGACTATTTTCTTTCTTCTTAGACAAAAATATAAACAAAAAATAAGATACATAGACTATATATATAGTGGTCGTTTCAATGTCTGAGAACACTTTACCCTTACAGAGATATGGAAAGATGAATTAGGCGTATCCTCTCTATCTCTCTATATATAACTACTATAGAATATCCTAACTAAAATAATAGTAATAATCTAAAAATACTTGTTAATAGATATCGTACGACTATTTTTGATAGCAACTTATGATTTACAAGTTTCTCACAAAAACAACATATAAATATTGCTTGTTCTTCTCATATCAAGAATATACGTTCGCTTTATTTGATAGAAATTTGTACCTTGAGCAAGAACAATAAGATTAGTCAATTGTAAAAATTATAAACTTCTATACTATCCATTACTTTATTTTTTGTGTATGTATTATTAACAAACCACACCCATGGTTTAAATAGTAGAAAAAAATCGTTTCTAATTGTCCCATTTTACTTTACATTTTATACATTGTACTTTGTAAAAAAATTAATTTTACTTTTTATAATATATCTTTTTTATATCAAAAAACAACAACTGTATATCTTTGAAGAAAAAGAAAAAGGAGCTATAAAATAAAAATATCAATTTGAAAAAATTTTTACTCTAAGTTTAAAAAAAGAAAAAGAAAAAATTTATAAATTAATTTTTAAATATTCACTTTTCTGATTTTTAGATTAAAAAATTTTTTTTAAAAAATGTTTCCAGCTGTTTCACTTTCTTTTACCTCAATTTGAATATATTTTAGGAACAAAAAATTGAATAGAGATATATATACATAATTTATTAATGAGAATTGTATTCAATTATTCATGTTGAAGACACGAAAGAGAATAAGTAGTGTACTCTAATGCATGAGTGTAGACTATATTTATTTCTATCTATTATGAATAGTATGTTTTTTCTATTGACGCCCTTCTTTAAAAATGATCGTTGATAAAATTATGGGTAATATATTCTAAAACATAAAAACGAAAAACATAATTCGTTTTTTATTGTTTTTTCCTATATCTTTCTTTCCATTCAACACCTTTCCTATTTTTTTCTCTTGTTGCCCATATAGCAGGCATATTATGAAAAAATAAAAAGAGAAGAACAACAATACATTTGACATTGTCGTTTTTTTTATATTGCGTGTAGAATATTATCTGAAGATAACAACTCAGTTCTATAGTAAGGTTTGTTAGATAATATTCATTAATTTTCACTGTAGATCCTGATATCCGTATCATATTATTAGTGTTTCTGTTGAAAAGACAGAAAGACATTATTTCTCATGGTACTATTTATTATTTTTGATCAACAATATATATCTGCGTAAAAGAGAAAAAAAACCGCGACTATATACGACATGAATATATGTCTAAAAAAAGATTGTTTTTTTGTCCTGCCATTTGAGACAGAAAGATGAGGAAAAAAAACGCCTTACTTTTTACCATTTTTGTTTTTTATTTTTCATGAGTAATCGCTATCTGAAAGGAATAAAACAAAAAATGAAAGGAAAGTGTTAGTAAAAAAAAAAGAAAAGAACAACATCATTGTATATAAGGAAAAGAAGAACAGTCGGGTGTGCTCAAACAATACAATTTGTCGTGTAAAATGAAAGGAAAAATAAGAGTCGGAATAAAGGTGTGCTGCTGTTGTTGATGTTTTTTCTTGTTTCATTTATTTTTTTGGTTATTGATGGCCATTTAAAAGACATTTGAAAACTAACAATACTAATGAATATTTTTTTATTTTATTTTATTCAATTTTTTTTCATCCATTACTTAGATATAATTTTTTTCTTTATCCTTTCAAAGAATGATATTGATCTTACACAGCAGTAAGAACGGTTTTATTTATTTGAAAATGAATTTGTTTCCAATATAAGCAAGTCATCAGGTAAATCCGCTTACCTTAAAACGAAAAACTCTTTTTTCCACAAAGTAAATTCTGAAAGTGGCAAGAACTCAGTTTTTTTTGTGCCTAGAGAAATATAATCATAAATACTGTTCTGAGTCAGATTTAGTTGAAGTGATTATTTGTAAATCAAAAATAGGGTGTAATTTTTCGTGATAATAGTCAAGGTCAAATGCAATTATTTCTGACAGATTTGTTTTTTTTTTTTTTTTTACATATGACCATTGACTTTTAAATGATAAAATCAGTATAGTCTTTTGTCAAACCTTTTTGTTGATTTGAACCTGAGAAAGAAAATTATATACATTTCTTTATCGATATTTGTAATAAAATATGTTATGTAAGTTTGCATAAAGTCGAGTTCTTTTAGAATAATTGATCATCTACATGAAAATGAGTTGAAGTAAATAATGTTACCTATTGAAACAATATAACTTTATATTTTTATCTATAAATCATATCCACACGTCTTTCGTATCTATTAGAGCATATATACAAGTCTAAAAATAGATTTAGTCTATGTTGAAAAAAAGGTCAATGTATACTATGATGAAAATCTGATATGCATTCTGTTGACAATAAACATAGATAATATATAGTAGACGTTACAGATGATGAACAAGTTTCTATATTTATACTTAAGAAAATATAGATAGCGCATATTTATTAACCAATTTTGAAAATTGATTACAGGTGAGATGATAATATCCGACTTAAAATCTAATTTTATCATATTATTGTATTTGCTATTATCAATTTTTTTTGAATAATACAATTTGTTTGAAAAACAACCACACCTCTTCTCCCAATTTCCCATTGGTTATTTCCGTTCATTTAGGAAATGTAAGATATTCTTAACACAGTTAACGTAATTTTTGTCGTATAACTTGTTTTTTTTTTTTTTTTTTTTTTTTTTTTTAAATTGCTTGCTATAAATATACTTTTTTTTTTTGGTTTTTTTATAACCCGGTATATATGGAAATTATATGTGTGTGTTTATGTGTGTAGTAATTGCACAACTATAAAGCGATGTACCACGATAATATTGATGAAACTTCACTGTATCTTGCTCCTTATACGCGTAGAATTTCCTTTTCCTAGTTATTTTTTCTGTTTTATTTTTCTTGAAAAAATGAAGCAGAAGAAGAAGAAGAAGAAGAATATAGATTTATACGTGTCCTTCAGTTTTTTTTTCTCTTTCTTTGCATTTTATATTAAATGAAGACAGATAGCGCGATATTATTCTATAATCTAGTCTAAATATATCTCTTTCATTTTATGAGAAAGAAGAAGAAAAAACAGACAACTTTTAAATGATAATTAGTTATGTTCTATATAAACGTCTAATGTGAATTATTGTTTTAGAACAAATTAATTGATGATTATTTCATGGTAGATCTGTGTCATCAACTAACGTTACCTGCTAATGTTCCATTTTTTCCACAAACACATGTGGTAGTAAGTATATGAAAAAATTTATAACTATGAAAAATAAAAAATAATAAAGAAGCTTTGTTGTCACTTAATAACTGAAATATTCTGAAGTTCGTAAAACATTAATTTAATTTCTACATATTTGAACTAATCTATAACATAAACAGATTTTACTACCTTATTTTGTTCCTTGGAGGCACTCAAGACCGATTATTGATCTCTTTTTTCCGGTCAAAATCTCTGCATTTATTGGGATTATGGAAAAAATGTATATTATAGTTTACAATGATCTTTGTTTTCTTTAGTTTCAATATCCACATTTGATCCAAAAGCATGAACTGATGGAAGTGGAAGAACGTCGTCGATTGGAAGAAGAAAAAGTTCGTGTACAAAGCAAAGACAAAACTCAGCAAAGTAATCCTAACATTTGCATAGTACTTTTACAGAAAAATGAAAAAAATGTAATAATAATTTCTATATATAACACTACAAAAAATATTGAGTTTGCGTGCGTGTATCATTGAAAAATATTCTTTTGGAGTAAAAAAAAAGTTAAAAAAAGAAAAGAAAATTATTTTTACCACTATAGTTTCAATGGTCTTTCATTAAATGAAAAAGACGAATATTATATTGAATTTTATAGAAAAAGAAAAAAAATGCCATACTATAGAATATTGGACAATCTTATTCATTATAAGTTTCTTGTCGATCTATCTTTTAAATCGGATGAAGATGATAGGTTTATCTAATTAATTTGTTTTGATTCCACTACTTTTAATAAATGACTAAATCTATAATGAACAAATAACCAAATAATCTGACAGTTTTATTAGACTGCCTCTAATTATGAGTATGATAATTTAATTTTCACTCTTTACCTTTGACTTACATAATAATTATGTTTATTTAGGTGCAAATGCTAGTGCTGAAGTAAAATCCCATTTAAAAAACTTTATCACACGAAAATGGGCGAAAGAAGGAAAGCCAAGGTGTGTACCGACAGTATATCGCATATTTCATAAAGATTGATTTTGTTTCTCTTCTTTTACTTTTAGTTCAGAATTAGATATGTTGAGAAGATATCAATCGGAACCAGTACTAAACCCTCGTCTGGAATCTGGTAGTTATAAAATTAAATCAGAAATACGACAACGATTACTAACACACCATCGACATTCACCAATAAATTCATCAGATAAACGCCATTCAAGATCAACAAAATCATCAAATAGTTTGCAAGGTATCGTCGTATATAGTCCTGCATAACTTCGGTAAAAAAATAATTATTGATTTTGTTTAACTCTGTTAAGAAACAAATCTTTCAAACAAAAATCATCATAAACTATATCCGTCTGTTGTATTACCACGTACTGAGGTTAGACGTACTGAGGTAAAAGTTCTATTTTTACAGTCAATGATGTTCATATTAATTTTTGATTTAGAGCGATGACATTACACATTATCAAAATAATACTGCAGATTTTCTGCTTGGAGTAAATGGAATCAATCTTCATCGATCACCGTACAGCTGTTCAACTGGTTGTATAGGCAAGGCTCAAAAAAATAGTGTGCGTGCACGTTTAGGGCGAATGTCCGATATCTCAACTTCAAGAGAAAGTTCAGAATGGCAGCATGAGGTTAGTGTCTCGTAGAAACAAAAATCCTGGACAAAGATCTGCGGTCAAAGCTAAAAAACTAACTTATATCAAAGAATTTATGTAAAATACCCAATACGAATGCTTTGTAGGCATTCATTGGATATCACTTACCGTTACGCTTAGCATTAAGTTGGTCAACACTAAGTTTCAAAGTTTCTGATGAGAAGCTGACCGCAGGTTCACGTCCAGGTACGATATACTTGACAGTTTCAAATATCACGATTTATAGGTAAAATTGAAGAATATCGTTTTTTTTTCATTTTTTTGCAGGATGTCATTAGAAATAATTTCACAAATATACTTGGACGAAAATATTTTATCGTCGAAGAAGAAGATGAAGCATTACTCACTAAAGAATTACAAGAAGCTAAAATTCAAAGTACAAATAACAGTCGTAATTCAATACATAACAGTCATCCACAAATATTTCATTCCGTAAATATAGATCAGAAATAAAATATTTTAAATTTAATTGATTTTTATATATTTTAGGATTTACATACATGCTTACCAAATGCAGAGGTAAGTTTCTTAGTATAGTTAAAATCAACCTATCATAAAAGTCTTTTATATCTTAGAGTACAACATTTCCAATCGAACGATTAGTACTACATTCCAAATCTTTGTCATCATTGCCCAGTTTATTACCAGCTACGTCAGCAAAACGATTACAAAAATCTTCTTCACAAACGATATCCATGCGTTATACAACAGGTAATCTATTCTAATTACTTCTACAATACGACTGATTACAAATGTTTTGTTTGTTTTCCAGGTCTAGTGTATGATGATGTTTCTCTTGAACATGAATGTTACTGTAAACGAACTGACATACATCTGGAAAATCCAAGACGATTGCTTGTTATTTATGAACATTTACGTAATTCAAATTTACTTGAAGATTGTGAAATTATTCGTGGACGATGTGCTACAATGGAGATGCTCACGGATTGTCACAAGTATGTATTCCCGTAGAATATAAACTAATAGTTGTTAAACGCATTTTATTTTTAGCCATGCTTATTTATTCGGATGTGATTTACGTCAACGTGCACAACAACCAGCAGCCTTTATTGAAGAATGTCGACAAAATATTGTTAAATTACCATGCGGAGGATACGGAGTAAAGGACGATACAGATACAGTTTGGAATGAAGAATATACGGCTAGAGTATGTCGACTGGCTGTGGGAAATACAATTGAGCTAGCCACACTTGTATGGAATGGAAAATTAAAGAATGGTTTTAGTCTAGTTCGTCCGCCTGGTCATCATGCAGGTGAAAAACCATTGTAAGTAAAGAGAAAACAATACTATAGGCTAGACCTATTACAATTTATTTATGGTAGAGGATTTTGTTACTTTAATAATGTGGCTATAACAGCAAAATGGTTGAAAAAGCATCATAATTTAGAACGAATAGCCATCGTTGATTGGGTATGCCTGTAAAAACATTTATCTATTCTCAGACTCAAAAAAAATGTTATCTCTGTTTCAGGATATTCATCATGGAAATGGCACACAAGATCTAACCTATGACGATCCAAATATACTCTATATTTCTTTACATCGTTTCGATAATGGAACATTTTTTCCTGGTGGTGGAAAAGTCGACGAAGTACGCTCTAAAATATTTTGTTTGACTTGAGAAGTCAGGTCAAATTCTAAATTTTAATTTTAGTGTGGCTCTAATAATGGCCTCGGAAAAAATGTTAATATACCATGGAGTGGCGATTTAGCACCACCAATGTCAGATGTCGAATATTTGGCAGCATTTCGGTTTGTTAACTAAGACCTAAAAAAAGTGATCTCCACGGTTGAATTTTGTTTATTTTTTCATTCAGAAGTGTGGTAATGCCTATTCTCGAAGATTTTCGTCCACAAATCATATTAGTATCATGTGGATTCGATGGAGCAGTTGGTCATCCACATCCATTAGGCGGTTACGAATTAACGGCCATGTGTAAGAAAATGCTGATGTGAACTAAAGAGTAATGAAATAATCTGTCTTCTAATTAGGTTTTGCATATATGACGAAAAAATTAATGGGGTTAGCAGATGGAAAAGTTATTCTTGTGCTTGAGGGAGGATATGAATTAAGTTCATTGGCAGAATGTGTAAAATTATGTGTAGAAGCTTTGCTTTGCAAAGAATTGCCAACATTTAATAATGAAACATTGAGAGCGATACCAAATTCAAATGCTGTTAGAACGTTAAAAGAAGTTATTCATGTACAAAGTAAGTAATAAATTACATTTTTAAATAATTATTATTTATAATTTTTCTATTATAGAAAAGTATTGGCCCACGTTAAAACAATACGAACCATTAATCTCATTGTCTCATGATAAAGCGATATCAGTACCAATCTCACCATACTATATTAATGATTCTAACTAATAATTATTGTTCAACTAATCGTTATTTTGCAATTAAATTTTGTGATATTTTCTTATTATTACCCACATTTAATCAAGTATAAATCATTGAGAATGAATATGTACGCAAAAGTAAAACTAAGATAAAGATTGATTAAAGTGATGCAAACCTCAAACAAAGATGAATTGGTAGAACAAAAATTATCGCTCAGTTAAATGACAAAGATTTAAGCTCAACGATTGTAAGATATTAGCGGCGAGAGAATTGATTTAATAAGTGTATCATATACCGGTGATTACTTATCTGTTTTTCTCAGTGTATATGTTTACGTCTTTTTATTTTCTGGCTTATAGTCATATTGCTGCAAAGCAGTGAAAATACATTAAAAATTGCGAAATACTTTAATGCCAGTTTCTGTTCATTTCTTCATTCTAGCCGATCTATCCAACAATCCTGCTATATTTTTATTTTTTTAACATAAATAGGTGTTTCTTCATTTTGTTGTTCTTGTTTTGTTGCTCAAGTTTGTCATTTAGTCTTTTTCTTACAAATAATTGTAAAAACAACACTGTGCGTTTTCACTCTTTTTCTGTGTTGTGTGCATTCTTAAAACAGAAAAATATTCAGGTTTAGTTGATACATCGTGTTAGTTAATTACTCTAATTATTTTGTCGAATAAGATTCCTCTGACTAAAAGTATTTCGCCTTCTAAGAAAATTAAAGAAACAAATAATCTATCAGATTAATATGAACATTATTTATAATTGAATGTTAGTATTGTTTATTTATTTATTTGTTTTTCTAAAACATTTGTTGTGATTTATTTCTTTAGATTTCTTCCCTCACTGTTTCATTCTTTTAAACAAATACAACAACACGTAACTCTTCTCTATTAAGAGAAAAAAAATTTGAAGCTGTCCGCAATCCAAAAATATACCTTCTGCAGTCAGTTGAGATACGCAGCAGACGTGTTAGAGTTCTTATTGGATAAGCATGTCCAGGGTTCCCGCTCAGAGGCAGTGTTTTTAATGATTAGCGGGTCGGTCTCGCTTGAGAAAAACGGGTTTCCACTTTGAAAATTGCGATTTTCACTTTGTTTTTAGCGATAGGGAGTAAAGGAGCGCTGGCCTCTCCGAAAAAAAATTTTGAACTTTCTAGCAAAATCTTTGATGTTCTAACAATGATCGATTCTCATCAGTTCGTCGGAATAAAAAGGACAAAACAGCTCGTGCACGTGGTAAAATCTCGAAAATGGGACATTTTGACGAAAAAGTGGGGCTTTCAATGCTCAAAGAGAGACAAAAAGTGTGCTTTTCTAAAGTAAAACTAGCATATCGAACATATTGTTCTCTTCGCAAACAAAGTATAAAAATAGACAAAAACTAATTTTTAAGATGCATTCCTGTACATTTTTAGCACATCTACCATTTGAACTCAAAAGCTCTCAGAAAGTGGCTTGGAACCAAGCAGTTTAAAAAAATACCAAAAATTCTATGGGACTGATTTAACCGATTTTGAGAGCCTCTAAGTAAAACTAAATTTAACGGGTTTAAGACTTTAACTATTATGTATTATATGTCGAAAATATATGGAATAGATCTTGAAATTTTGAAATTTCTTAGAAAAACTAACTAGAACGTTTTGATGCTGATGTAAGGAGCGGATAAGGCAGACAAAAATGCAGTCCTTCGCTGTACACATACACATATATAAACGTAAGTATATACATACTTACGGCGATTTCTATTCGAGCTTCCTGTTCTCCAACGACAATGAAGTTTTATACCTCATCCACAATAAAAATCTTTGCTTATTGCATAGACAAGTATTTTTGGAATAAAAAAAAACTTAAGGAATTATAATAAACAGCAGAGCTTTTCAAAAGATATTTTGTCTTCAATTACGATCACATTCCGTTACTCTCTTACAAAAATTTTTATTTCGTGACACGAATGGGCCCGGCAAATTCACTGAGACATTCTTCGACGTTGTATTTCAGCTTAAACAGGACATAGAAAAGCACGTGTACGTTCATTGAAGTAAATCATATAATAAGAAGTTTAGTATTGCATCAGATCGACTATTTTATCTCGTATGAATTATTAACGAAATGGGCTCTGAAAGCAAGTACCAATTGTTTAACATTATTTCAAAACGTCGTTATGCCAATGCAAACCATTTGACAGCGCTTTATTCAATGCGGAGTTCATTATTTTATTTACTTTTGGCTTTAATGTGTTTGTATGTATTTCTTTGAGTTCACTATTAGATAATTTTAAACACATGACGTTACGTGACTAAACAGTACAGGCGTAACATTTCTTTTTTTAAAATATTTTAGTCCTGATATTCAACTACCAATTGATGTTAGATCTATTTCATTTACAATACATTTACGTATGTATTTTCCCCTTGATTTTATTAAGTTTTTGAATAGCTACATTTTTTCTTTCAGGCGAAACATGTCTTACATTCATGTTCTTGGTAGCTACTGAAGCTTTATTAAAATGGATAGATATTCAATTTGTTAAAGTTGTTTATTTGAATCGTGATGATGCAAAATATTTTGGAGTGACTGACCATGGTTTGTATTTGATTTAAATTTCGCATGTTTTTTAGTGAAAAAAAGAATTACAGTGCTTGTTTCTTATTTTTAATCGTTTTTTAAAAATGATATACGCGCTTTCGTTGATAACAGTGAAAACTTCTAACTTTCAATTAAAGATCTTTTGAAGGTCTATTTAAATTATAAATATCTTTCAAATTAATTGAACTTCTGGCAAGGAAAACTCTAAAGGAGCTCAAAAATTTTTTTGACAGATTGGATGAATATTAGACTAACTTATTTAATGTTCTTCTACGTGAAACAACACGCCTTCGATTTGGTGGGACTATATTGCACGAGATCATCTAAAGCAGTTGTCTAAGAGCATCCACATAAAACAATAGAAAAAGAACTTTTTATCGATAATAGATCATTGATTCAATTTTGTAGAGATAAAAAATGCAAATAGAACTAATTCTGGACTAAATGGGTACCTACTAACACTGATTACACTCCTCATTCCTCTCGATACACAATGTTCATATGTTGAATAAATACTAGGTCGATTTTTTTATACTGGTGCGTTTTCTAAACATTTTATATTTTTATCTCGATTCATTCATAGAGATAAAAATAAAAAACGTGTCACACAGTTATTTTTGAAACATTATTGCTCAAAAAATCAAATGTGAATTAGTTTGTGATCAAGAAAATTCTTTTTATTTCAGAATCTGGTTTTATTATATCGAATAAGAACAGTTCCATTATACAAAAACATTCATGGTTAGACAATATTTATTGTTTACTAAATACATTGCATACTAAATCTATATTAACATTGTTTTATAATGAGAATTCATCAAGTGTGTATCTCACACAAATATCTTTATTTCATAATGAAAAATATGATGAAATTTTCATTTGTATTTAGATAATACTGTTTCTCAAATAAAAGAAAAAAACCGTCGACAACTCACAGAATCACTTGTCACAGCTTTTCATAAAACAGCAACAACTCCACAAACACCCAATGTCGATCGTACAATGTTAATTGATGATCGTAGTGTTCATGTAATTAATAATAGCATCAACGACAATGTAAATTAAACTGAATATTATTTTTTCTATTTAGAAACGAAATTCATTATTACATCTCAACAAAACATGTGATAACTATACTATTAATGCACTACGTTTTCAAACACAAGCAACTTATTCACCAAGCAAGTATTTTTGAATGTTGTCCTTTTTTGATAGTAATTAAATTTCTAAAGCGTTACATTATTTTTAATCTGTAGCTCAAAATGTTTATGAAACTCAATTATCAAAACTTGAATCTGATCACAATGATGCGCGACTATCACGTCATACGAGTCCAGTAAAAGACAGTAGGCTCTGCTGAAAAGCTGACAGAAGTTCATAATAATTTGTATTAAATATTATCATCTTCTAGTGGATATTGACTACAATCTGGATGATATCAAACATTTTCGTTATCAACAAGCTGAAAGTCCAACAACTGAGTTTCCAAGACAAACAGATGGATCAAATAATTCAGGACAAAATCGTCTGGTATATTATCTAATAGCAAGCGTGAATTAAAATACAACAGAAACGATACATTTCTTTTTTCTTCAAATTTTTAGATATGGCGTCCATATGATTGTTTACAGGTTGGTTTGATTCAAAAACGGCAGTATATGCGCATGGTAAGAAATGTTGACTTTTTTTTTTCTCATTTTAATATGAAATTTTTTAATTTTCAATTTTTATAGTGGTTAACTTTTCGTTTATTTGAACAATTAATAAATAAAATTAATACGTTCAATTATCTTTTAGAGCAAACTGGTTGCGATATGTTTATTGGAGGTATGAGAGTAATGAAAACGAATTAATAATTAGATGTTATATTTGTTATTTTTATTTAGTTAATCCAATTAATGATATTAAATGTGTGTTATCGACACAAACTGACGAACTCAAACGATTAACACCATACCTTGATTGGACACATGAACAAAATTATGTTGTACGAAGAATGCGAGGTATAAATTAATTTAAATCATCTGTTAATATTTTTAAATTTCTTTTTCTTTTTCATTACAGAATTACATGAACATCGCTTCTCGAATTATCAGTGGAATTATCCATCAGACGGTCCTG